TATTTTTGTCTAGACAAATATCATGATCACATTACATTGTAATACAATTGTGATATTAAACAAACACTATTGATCCCTGAAATCCTTTGTAATACCAATGTTCACTTTGTCTGGTTTTGTTGCAGTATGCCCCATATATAATACTGTCCAGAAAAATATGAATTTAGCCCAAGAACTTCTGTATCATTGCATTGATGGAATTGCTGTCAGCAGACACAAATCACTAGTCCCAAATGATCCATCTTCTACTGTTGAAAATCTAGAACTTGATTCACATGTTATTCTCAGCAGCAACCCTCATGACATTGTGACTTTTTATATCAAAATGCCAATCTTTTTTCTCTGTCTTTATAATGATGTTTTAAAAATATTGGAGCCAACAATACTAGAAAGGACATTAATTAGCATGAATCAGAACATTAGTTGGAATGAGTGGGAGAAGTTTGTAGCATACTATATAACATTTCGCACCAATTTGCTTACACAATGTAATTACCAAACAATAACTTTGAGGGATTTACATAATGATGCATATGGGACAGAAAACTTTAGGAATTGTTGTAAAGCTGAAGGAACTTTCTGTAATACAAGCCCATGGTCAATTTCCATGTGAAAACTTGGTGGACAAAAATCATAAACACATTGATTGGATGAAAGGAAATCATTTGATTATAAATGGCACATCAGCAAAATTTGCAGATTCATTTGTTGTTAGAGACATCCTTGGCTGCAACAAACATCTCTTAGAAGCATTTCAAAACAAACTATCAATTAATGCACAATTAAAGATTTCCATAAAGGAAATAAACAAAAATCTTGAGAGTCTTTATAATTCAGATGGACTTTTTGCTGACTATCATATTGTAACAATTCTTTTTACTACACAACCATTTGATGGCGATGTTGCAAATCTTGATGAAGATTTTTTACTTATTTCAAAAGAAAACTTTGCAGCATATTTTGGTCCAGTCTTTTCAACACACACCATGCTTTCTATTACTAATGACATTAATCCTAACCTCTCTTGGTTGGGATATGATTACAAATAATATCCCTGGTGCTGGTGACCTTACTACAACCAATATTGTTTCAAAGAAGCCTTATAAGAGTGAAGAGGATCTGTTCAACAAACATCCAAGAATCAAGAATGCTATGGATCAATTTCCATCTGCAAAGAGACCTAAATTAAGCCTTTATCCATTTAACCTTGAATAATGCTCTGTTTTTGTTGGTGTCATCCTTGCTTTGCATTTTCATAAGAAACTCTATCTGTAATAATAATTTCTTTTTTATCATATTTCACACATTTATTCATTACTTTATATTCATAATATTCTCATTGCTTGATATTTAATAATTGGAATTTAATAGTTTATATACTTTTCTGAAAAGATAATTAAATTAATTTTATTAGAGGTCAGAGTCAATTTTAACTTCATTTACAAAATTGGATCTAAATTTAATTACCATTTAAAAAAAAAGAATAAAATGGAAAAAATAACCAGAAATGATCATTGAGTACATAACTTATATATGGGGGGTTTTCTAGCAAAAACCATGTATAAGGCTTCCAGACCAAAATTGAGTTTTCTGCATAATATATGTATATACCACAAGGATTATAACTGGTAAAAATTTTAGACATTATTTACTTAGTACAATAACAAGATATAAGGCTTGAAATATTCACTTTATATATCAAAAACATATGTGTAACATATTTTGTCACTCAAAAAAATTTATTATACTTATACCCGGTTTTTGCTAGAAAACCCCCCCATATATAATTTATTCCTAATCCAGTTACTATCCCTTGTTCAATGCTTATTGATATCAGTTGGAATTTCCTGATTTTCATTTTATACATAAGGATGCCAGAACTACAAAAACCCCTGTATTTAATTATTCTGTTAACATCAGGATAAGTTAAGAAATAATAGTAAAAAAACCTACAAAATGAACATAATACATAGGTAAACTCAATAAGTTGGACACTCGATAAGTCAGATTTGGCTTAACTCAGACAAAATTTTTCAGCCCTTTTTTTCAATAATTAAAAATCTCTTGATAAGTCAGACAACATATATAAACCTTGTTAAACTGTAAGTCAGTAATAAATTACTCTTGATAAGTTGGAACACATGATTTTTTGATAGACAATCTTTACTATTTTTAGTAACATATATAGTTGGCTCAGTCTAAAGACCTCCTAAATTTTGGGCAAATTTTAAAAGTACAGAAGTCACTTTCTGTCCTACCTTTTTAAAAAATAACTCTATTAGTTGATAGAATGAGCCAAGAATTGTAAAAGAGTTTGATTTGATAATATCACTATTGAAGAAATGTTAGAGGGATTTATTGAAAGTTCAAATGAATTAGGTGGTAATTATGTTGGAAGCTATTCTAGAATAAGCAATTTAAATAATCAATTGAATCAACAAAAAGAAAGATCATGAAGAGAAGTTGAGTGAAAAAGAATTGGAAATTAAAAATTTAGAAGAAGAAATAAATGAACTAGAAGCAAAAGTAGAGGAACTAGATGATGATCTTGATAAATTTCATAAGTAATCCTTTCTTTTTTTCCAGTGTCAGAAAGAAAATAATCTAATTGTTACAATATTGATTTATTTTTTTATTTTAATTCCTTTAATGACATAAATCATGGCAATTATAAAACCTAAAAAAGTTATACCCAATATTCATAATCAGATTTATCATCATTAGTGATCACTAATCATCATAATTTCCTTTATTCTTTGAAATATTGTTTTTATACTCATCAGCAGCTTTGGTAAAATCTTCATTTTTAAGTCAGAGACAATAGTTTTAACATGATTACATTTGTAATCAGGAAGAATGTAAATTTATTTTTATCAGTAATACTGTAACTGCTTTTTTATAATCATTGGATTATCATCAATAAGATATTGAAAGCCAGGATATTTTCTTTAACTTCATCTAAAGGACAGTCAGAATGAATTTCAATTTACACAGAGGAAAATTACTTTCTTATTTTCAATCAAGGTCATTTCTTAGTTTCTTTAACTTCAATTTGAGCAATCTGACCATTTTGCTGTTGTAATTGGGTTGGGTTAATTGAAATTTTAACTCATTGATTTCTTTTATTAATTCTTGGGGAGTTAACTCTTTTAGTTGCTTATTTTCCTCTTCTAAGTCTTAATCCTATCCAATAACTCTTGTTTTTGTCTTTTATGCCAATCCTCAGCCACTTCCAAAGCCTCTAAATGAGTTTCTACTTCCTCAGTTAGCTGATTTTTTTCTTCCCTCAAACCATTTATTTGTGTTTCATAAAAAAGTGCCATTCCTCCATTTTGATGAGGTAAAAGAGGAAGTTCTTTTTCATTTTCCTCTTCTTTGCAATCACAAGTATATCTAGTCTTTAACCTTCCACAATCACACTTAGGCAATTCACCATTTTCAAACTTCTCTCTACAGTTTTCACAAGCCTTATCACTTTTAACCATTTCACCAGTCATTTTGCTTTGCATTCTGATTTTACAAACTGCTTTTTTCAAACCAGGACAGAAAACACAAGGAGAATTACTGTTGTGTCATTCTTCTAAATAAATTCTTTTCCCTGATTATCAATTATGGTTGCTCATGAATAATAAATCTGATGTTGATTACAGGTGTCAGATTTAATTAAAATTCCCTATCACAAACATGTGGTTATGTGCTTTCACACGCCTCATAACTGTGGATTTTTTCCACAGGTGAGGTCCCCCACATGTTGGAAGGCTTTGGGCAAAACTTTTCCTTATCTTCCCCTCAGACAAGGCTTGTTTACTGTTACCATATGGGCATTGATCACTGATGAATATCAGCATTTGTGTGATGATTTCTTTGTGTTCAAAATTCTGCAACTCAGGAGATTGCATCCTGGGTTGCTGTTTTGAATTCAGAGTTTTGAGTCCTGTGTTGCTGGAATTTTTATGAAAAGAAAAGTATTAATATTTAACAATTAATTATTTAAATGTTTATTTTGTTGAAAAAAATATACAT